AAGAAATTTTAGCAACTGGAGAGAATGTCTCATCATAATCAATACCATAGGTTTGTCTATAACCTTTAGCAACCAATCGGACTTTCAACCAATCGACACTCCCATCAGGATTGAACTTCGGCACATTGATCCATCTGTTACCAACAGGATGTATACCAAGTGGTAAATGAACAAGATCCCAAGTCTTATTCTCGTGTAACTCCATAACCTTTCGCCACTCAGTATCAGATAAAGCTTGTGCCATTGTCTTAGGGACAAAAACACTAGAAAGCTGGGATGTGAAACAGGAAAACGAAGTTGACAACGAATCAAAAGTGACAATGACTGATAGGATGTTTAGTCACACAAGTACGTTTACCTTTACGGAGAGCAATGAACAGTGACTCAGGATTAGAATAGATGACGGAAGCATGATCTGTAGATGGCAAGGTGATGGATGGGCCCACAGGCATTAGTGGCTTAAATCGTCATGTATAAACCTGTAAAGGAGGAGGTGGTTCCTTCTGAAAAGAGGACAACTCTAGTACAGTAGACGAAGACGAGACTAATTCCAGAGAAATACTAACAAGGAGATATGGAACGGGTAAGCTAACAAGATCCCTAGTGGACTCAGGAAACAGACTATGAGCAATGTAATAGGGAGTAGATTTATTGACACTTACAAAGTACGCTGCAAAGAAGGATTGTAGCAACTATACCCTTTCTGTGTTCGGGAATAACCAAGGAAAACACATTTTATAGAGCGGAGATCAAGTTTGTCACGGCCAGGACTAAAGTTATGAACATAACAAAAACACCCAAAAACCTTGAGAGGTAATGAGTAGGGTGGAGAGGAAGAAAACAAAAGAGAGAAGGGAGATGCACCGTCCAAAATAGATGATGGCATGCGATTAATGAGATGGCATGCGGTAAGGACAACATCACTCCAAAAACGTTTAGGGACATGCGTATGACACAGAAGAGCACGAGTAACATCTAATAAATGACGATTTTTGCGTTCTGCAACTCCATTTTGTTGTGGAGTATATGCACAAGATGTTTGATGATTAATACCTTTGGAAGATAGGTATGAAGTAAAAGAAGCCGACATATATTCTTTGGCATTATCAGAACGCAAAATATGAATCTTTTTGATAAATTGTGTTTTGATAAGTACGAAAGGTTTAAAAGATAGAAAGTAATTCAGAACGATTTTTCATTAGGAACAACCAAGTCATAAGAGAATAATCATCCACAAAAGTGACAAAATACTGAAATGTATTAGATGAAATGTTGATTGGTCCCTATACATCAGAGTGAACTAACTCAAATAAACTAGAAACACGACAACTTGTACTTAAGGAAAAGACACACGGTGATGTTTGCTAAGCTGACAAGCTTCACATTCAATGGAGGACACATTACGAAGACTTACAACTTGACATTTTAAAGTAGATAGAGAAGGGTGACCAAGACGACAATGTCACTACATGGATGAAACAGAATACTGTAGAGCTCGAGGAGAAGAGATTGATGAAAGTTTCAGGTAATACAAGCTACCAACTTCATGTCCCATACCAATCATCATCTTCGTCTTGAGATCCTAAAATATGCACACGGAAGGATAAAATGTCTCGAAACACTGAAGAGGAGTAGTAATTTTACTAATAGATAATAAACTAAAGGGACAGCCAGAAACATGAAGGATGATTGATAGATCAATATTAGGACTAGGATGGGCATTGCCTGAGCCTGCAACACTAGTTTGGAAACTGTTAGCAAGAGTGACATGTGGAAAAAATAATAGGATGATTATCACTAAGAGAAGTGAACGAACCAGTGATGTGTCCAGTTGCTCCGAAATCGATAATCCATGAATTATGAGAGGCTGACAATAGACACTAAGGTGTAGTACCTAACTGAGTGAGTGTGGCCATATAAGTGGAAGCAGCCTATTTATGAGCTAAGAACTCAGCATACTCATCCCGTGGTATAGATAAAAGATAAAATCCTTGTGTTGAACTAGAGTCAATTACTCGGTCAGATAATAGGTGACAGTCCACATTAGACGAGACCTGATTGGCAGATCTAGAAGGTTTTCCATGTAAATTCCAACAATAATCAATGGAATGACCTACAGGACTGCAATGAGTACATTTTCGAAGTTCAAGATTTCCCAAATGACCATTGTCTTTAGTGTCTCGTCCACCCCGAGGACTAAAGCCACGTCCACCCTTGAATGAGCCACCTTGAACAATAAAAGCATAACGATCTCCACTAGGTGTACTATATGACAAAGTAGAGCGCTGAATACGAGAGAAGGTCTCTGCGAGATTGGGAAGTTCTTTACCACCTAATATCTGTGCTCGGACTACCTCAAACTCTGGCAGAAGCCCAATAAGAAATTTAACATCATTAATGTTTTCCCGCTGTCTTTCCATAACTTTCAAATCAAGAGAGAGAGGTTGCTGTACATTCCTTTCCTGACACAGCCAAAATTTTATTGTAATATTCAACAAGGCTGAAAGAGCCCTTCTCAAGCCCAAAGAACTGTTTACACGTCTCGTAGATTCGAGTCACATTTCCAATTCCAGAATGTATATGTTTAAGATGTTCCCAAATTTCTTTAGCTGTGGACATATAAAGGGAGGAAGACCCGATATGAGGCTCAATGCTACTAATCATAAGTCCAATGATTGCATTATCTTCTTGATCCCAACAATCGTTGAGAGTAGAATCAGCTTTTGTAGAATCACTTTCTGATGATTTAGCAGATGGCTTATCTAAAATCAAGCGGTTAAATAAACCTTTATCCCGCAAGAAGACCTCGATACGTCTAGCCCAGTAAGTGTAATTTCTTTCATTAAATTTTTCAGGTGTTATGGGTCCCGTCAAATTGAGCATCTCCATCTTGGATGACATAATACTATTTATGCAAACTAACTAGTTCTTGGATTGTAAGGAATAAGGCTATCAATAATTAAAGATCCACAAACCAAGTAATGGGCTCAACAATGAAACCAATAATAATTAAACCAACATAGGCAAGCCCTAAAACAATTTGAGCCCAAATACAATACACTCAAGCAAACCAAGATCTCAAGGTAAGAAGTTGATCTATCACAGGCCCAACTCCCCGAAAACTCACCGTGAACACCACCACCGACTTCAACAACCAAGAATGCCGAACAGAGATTCACCAAAGAAAATCACAGAAATCCAACAAAAATTACTGACCATAGACAAATTAATACCCACCCAGACAACTAAATCACCAATACCCAACCAGAAATTAAAAAAAAATACCGACCAAGAATCAAGATCTCAAGGTAAGAAGTTGATCTATCACAGGCCCAACTCCCCGAAAACTCACCGTGAACACCACCACCGACTTCAACAACCGAGAATGCCGAACAGAGATTCACCAAAGAAAATCACAGAAATCCAACAAAAATTACTGACCATAGACAAATTAATACCCACCCAGACAACTAAATCACCAATACCCAACCAGAAATTAAAAAAAAATACCGACCAAGAATTAGAGGTTGATCGAACGAAGATGACACCGAACTAGAGTTGTTGGAGATGAATACACGGGCAAGAACGCACAAGGAATGAACACACGAGCTGCTTCTGGAGTTACGATCAAACGCTCTGACAATTGGAACAATTGAATTTAAGCGACAAATCAACCAGGTTAGGCAATACCTGCTCTGATACCATGTTTGAGAGAGAGACTTGGTATAAAATATTTTTGGGAGAAGATTACTAACTCTTCTCCTTCACGTTCATTATATACATATCAAAAATACATGTATGGTAATAGAGTCCCAATATGGAAATACAATAAACCCAATTCCTCTTGCCTAATATACGTTATTCTACTTAATTTATTTCATTAACAAGCTAAATTGTAGATGATTAGGCTTAATGTTTAATGGTATGCTTAAATGTAGGAGAGAATTATATTGCTCAATTCTAGGAGAGACAAAGTAGCTTATTTATAGGAACGAATTATGTTAGCTTTGTGTACATACACAAGCTCTAATATAATGTTTTATACTATCAAAATGAAATGATAACATGAAATTTCCACATTAACAAGAAATGAAGAGAAAAATGCTACTGCTAATTCCATGTTCCATAACTCAGTGAAAATCAGTTGGAAAGAAACACAGCGATTTACACCCAATTAGTTTTATACCATTTTGAAGAGTAAATATGGACTGGACCCACGTGGTTGGGATTCTAATATTATTGCAACAGGCTTTCAGGAGCACTGAAAATTTATAAAATCCGCATTCTTCTTTACTTCTGCTCACCAAATGGGATGTGGGGGTGGGAAAAAAAATCCCAATTCTGGAAGATGTTTGAAGGGTATAACCAAAGAAAAATGATAATAAAACATAAAATGATCTAAGGGAACCATCAGTATGTCTTCCATAACAAATTTTAATCACAAGTAGTCTCAACCTACCCCACAGGTGGAAATCCCCTGATTTACTTTGCCACATTTTGAACAATGAGAAACTATGAGAAATCCTTTCGCAAGCATTACCAGAAATGGTAGAATCAGTGACACAAACAGATATGCTCTATTATTTCTTCCATTTCAGTTTCTGTAAGTAATTACATTTAGTCTCTGTTTCCGAAATCCTAAAAGCAAAACAATAAAAACAAGTTCTTCAAATGAACAAGTCTAGTTAGCAAAAAGAGCATGAGACGATGTAAATCCTGTAAGTGTCAGTTTACAGAGCTCTCAGCGGGGGGAGTGAACTTTTTCTCTCTTTCTGCTCAACTGTTAAGAAAGGCTATTGATTCAATTCAAAGCACCTCTTTCTGAATTTTATAGCTGGCCTAATTTTGGACCAAATAGAGACATAGGTGGACCATTTTTTAACTTTTTGCTGGTTCAAAGATCAACCCATGCACCATATGGGTTCAGCAACGTGATACTCGCTAAAAATTTAGAAAGAGGAAGAGAAAGAATAAATGAAATACACAAAGTTAATCAGAAATGACAGGATCCTTTGTGGCTTAAGAGAAAATGAAGAAAGAGGATTCAAGTCCCCATCTAAACATAGAATATGATGAGACTTTCACTTGTTAAATGCAGTATATGTAATTCTTTTCCCAATAGAATATATCCTAGCACGTCATGTTAGCATCGCAACAGAAAATTTAAATGGTAAAATAATGCAATATGATCGTTCACTAAAAATAAAAATAAAAATAAAAAGAGAGAGAGAGAAACAAACTAACTAACTAATGCACATATCTTCAATGCTTTTCACCCATTACCTGTTTCAGAGATATTATCAAGAGGACCTTCTGCCTTTGTATTTGAAATGGACTCCTCCTCAAAGCGTTCTCGTGCATCAAGTAGAATGCTGAGATACTTGTACATGTTGCTTTGGATCATAAGCTTAATATCCTCCAGTTCTTGGGTGGAAAACTTATTGCCGTACAAGAATTTGGCCTTCAGTTAACCAAAATTGAAAAATAGCAGGTGAGGACAGTGAGGTATAAAGGACGGGGAAAAACATGCAAAGCCAAAATCAATGAAATGTCTCAAGGAAATCATTACCGAAAAGAAACAAAAGAAATGATTGTCTCAATACACCACAAGCAGAAATCATCATTAATTGATTGTCTAGATGCACCACAACCAACTTCTTCTAATCATGAAAATGATTTACTAATGTTTAGGGAAAGTTTTCACCAATAATAAATGCTATAATTATTTTGGAATTGGATATGAGATTCTTTTGAAAACCAGAAGTTATGAGATTCTTTTGCAAACCAGAAGTTGGTTACCTGTTTGAAAATAGTACTAGTTCCTGAACCTTGAAGTCCAACTAGAAGGAGCTTCTGAATTTTCTTCGGCTCTAGATAATTCGGGACGGCAGTATAATTGCTGGCCTCATCAGATTGTCCATGAGGTTGACCTTGGGGCACAGGCAAGGAGAACAAGGAGCAGACAAATCGTGTTGATGCCTTGCAAATTAAACATTAAATGCTTGTGAAAAGATCCCCCCAACTTGAATAGCATATATCGTGCAATTTTCCATAATAATAAATAATACCTTTTCCCAGATATTGCCTCTGATATTATTTTGACCTTCCTCCTCATAACGACCATCATCATACACCCAGAAATGAGTATCACGTGGACATTGCACATGTGCAAGCTGAACCACATATACAATATGGCAACATGTTAGGACAAACAGCACATGAACTGAAAACACAATCAAGCACGTGAGGATTTCACAAAGTGAAGCACAAAGTCAAAATTACACAAACTTCAAATATGATGGAGGGAGGGAGACTAGCTGCTTGAGTCTCTTGTATTTCATAGCAGAAATCCACACTACTCCAACTTTTAACATAATGACTGATTGAATTGTGCCTTTTTTTTTAACTCCTTTATTTACATGCTTTTTGCAGTTATTTATTGATTTATTTCACAACAGAATAAAGGGGGGAAGAGGAAAGTTGGATGCAAGGAAAAGGAATGAAGGTCATAAATTGCAATGGATTATCTAGCTCATGTGATTAGCCTATGGGATGAACAAATTAGTATCTATCCCAATAAACAAAATGCAATAAAAAACTTAAAATTACATAAGCTCAGTGTGTGCTAATATTACAGCATACTAACTAGAAGCACATTCATGCACATAATGAAAATGTAAAATTCAAATAAAAGTAGCTATAGTTTTATTGAAAAGAAAAAAATAAAATAATAAAAAAATAATCTTGTTTGCAGCCTTCTTCAATTGCTGTAGTATGTTCGCTCTCTGAAAGGACTGGGTCACACAATCTTTCAATTAAAGAAAACTTCGAGGGAATCAAACAACAAAAAGAGATGAATTTTGTGAATTTTCAAGCCCAGTTGTTTAGTGTATTTAATGTTTTATCACTTAACACCAGTGATTAATCGACACCAAATTTAAGAGAAACTCAAAGAGCTCACCAGGTTTTACAGCTTTCATAATTGCTTGATTCCATTTCCTAGGTATAAAACATTGTTTTTTCCTCTGCCAACTAATTACTACTATTCATGATTTTAGCATTTTGTATTGAAGGAAAATGAAACATGGAGAGTTGGAGACTACAAAATACCGATGAAAATTGAACGGCACTGCCAAATGAAATTATGCAATTGAATCCTTATGCAAAAGAAAGGATTTCCATATCCACTGGGTGCCATGGCGCCCCTTAAACCTAACACAGGTCCACCCTTTACAGTTGATATTTCCTTCTTCCAGTGTTGTTTTTTAACTAATTTTAATCAGATATGTCTCTCCCCTACATATTGTGCCAATTTTTTGGCTGAGTTTTGTATGGCTACACTTACTCATCCAGCAAAATCACAACAACTATTCCCTTCCCAGAAGGTGATGCCAGAATTAGTTATTCGCTTATGTGATAAGAGCAACATTCAATTATTTTACTAACCGCTAGTTTGGGCTCACATCAATCATTTAGCATAATGTGCAGAAGTCTGAGTAATCAAAATAATGATTAGTAGTATTCAATGAGAAGCAATATTGACTGGCCTTCTATCTCGGGGGAACAAATCTTCTTGTGTAATAAGTAAAGAGATCTTATTAACTCGTCATTGACAAATCCATAAAAACACCAATGAATATTACAAACCTTTTTGAACTAACTATTGTGTCGTTCTCATATACTTTTGTAAAATTTCAAACACAACGAAGGTAGTCAGAGATTAGTCATCTAACTACTTAAAAAGAACTCATAAAATCCATCTGAAGACTAGCTTTTAGTCAATTCTTCTGTTTTGTTATTCATGTATTAGATTAATTCCATTACTACAAATAAAGAAATAAATTAATTTTCTATTGCATCTAAATTAAATTTAGAATAACTGGCCTTGCCAACATAAATCATAGGGCCTCCCCAGGATAAACATACTGACAACAAAGACAAAATTGTAAGGAGAATGCTACGAGAAAAATTACATAATATAAATAAGGTGTACCATTTTATATCTCCTTTCCTAGTTCTTCCAGAGCAATAACAAGGCAAAACAATCTTCCAGTTATCTCATTCCTTGAATGATGGATAGGATTCAACCACTACAACTGATTATTTGGACATGTATTACAATATTCAACCTCTAATTACAAAATATGTAACAACTTAAATTGCATGACAGAAAGGGCACAAACAACTCAATCAAGAGGTGATGTACAGTGAACCCCTAAAGCACATAAAGCGATTATGAAACTCAAGCTACCAATGTTTCATGGAATTGGCGAGGACTAGATAGCCCTCTTTTTTAAGGAAAATATGATCTACATATCACATATGTGTAATATTATTTTATGGAAGAATGCAGGGTTGAAAATGAGTTTTGGAAAAATAGAGCCCAAATAGGGGCTTAATATTTATACAAGCATGTGAGGAAAACCAGAGATATAATAACCTCTATAAAAGAATAATGAGCACGGCACCATGTCACTGAACTGCATATTTTCCAAATTTTAGTTACAAGATATCAGCATCTACTTGCATGTACACACACACACCCTCATACATAAAATATCTACAAGATTTATACATATGGCCTCGAAACTATAAACTAACCTTCAGTACTCTCAGTTCAAGTTTCGTGATTTCTCGACCATTCATGTAAACCTCAGTATTGCCATTGCTTGCATGGGAATTAAGTTTCCCAGTGAAGTTTAAGTTTGAGCTTATAACTCTATCGGGTTTCTCTCCCTCCTGTCAGATGAACATGTACAAACTTTATTGGCATTTCTTCCTTTCTGATAAACATAACAAAATAAATATAACAGCTGAATATCTAGCATCCTTAGTGAATTACCTCTCCCCAGAGACCTGATTCCTTGTCATACCAATACCTTCCTGGCTTCAGTCTCCTTGGGGGCAAAGGGCATCCAAAAAGTTCCGCCATCTCTTCTGGCTTTAAAGGATATCCATTCACAATTAACTGCTCTGGCCGTAGCTGATTAGCAGAACATTCCTTTTCAGTTTTCATTATGTGTTTGACTTCTAAAGGACTAAGTAAACGTGACAACAATCTTGAATGTTTCCCCAATTTGGATCGATTTGACTCATCAATTGGCTCGCCTATACAGGTAACACATTTGCGCCCTTCAGGCATGGAACCCATTGCTCTCAGCACACAATTACTGCAATATTTTGCATTACAAACTAGGCAGGATTCCTTGGTTTCCCACTTCCCTTTTCCACATCTATGACAGACTCTTGTTTTTTTCCTCTTCTTTTTCTCTTTGATCACACCTACAAACTCAGGAAACAATTGTTTCTCCATATCAATCACTCTTCTTTCGGATCTATCAACAGTATTAAAGGTGACTACCGTGGCTCTCTTTCCTTCACCGGGAGGCTCTTTTGGAGCATTATTACATCTACTGTGCACAGAACCTGGAGAAGCGGAATGGGAACGTGAAGAAGATTCAGGGTTTTGCAAGACGGATACCACAGACTCCGAACTTCCTGATATCCTCGGACTTTGATTTGTTGGACTTGTGACATTTGCAATCCGAGATACTGGCAAAGGAATTGGTTCGATTACAGGGGCTGCGTCACGTGCAAATGATCTTCTAGATTCTGAAAGGGGTTCAGCAGTCGGAATCCCATCCAAATTCATGTCAATAGGTTCTACTCGCGGAACTTCATAGGAAACTGGGGGGCCCTTATACTCCAGAGCTATGGAGTAATCCAAGTTATCGTCATCCGGAATGGGAGCCCCTGGAGGAAGCATCTTCCTCACCATCTCCCTCCAACCCTCTTCCCCATTTTTCTCCATTTTCGTCACACAAAATCACCAACCTCAGTTTTTAAATCTATGGTATATTCTTGACAATAAAAATAGCACACGTCAATATCACAATAATCTCATAAAATTGTCAAAGAGGAACAGCTGCATAAATGGGTTGTTACATAACTTTGAATAACCTTCAAAGAAGTTCAACACCTGACAACAAGCGCAGCCCCACAAAAATCAGTTCAAAATTCAAAGCTATAAAATCACATAACTTATTGAAACCCCAGAAAATTCAACAGTCCAAGAAGGAGGCGGTTCCGCCGAAGAAATTTTAAAACTAACACAGACATACCTAAAAATTCAGAACTCTTATATCTTGAAAAGAAATCTTCAAGATTCTGAATTTTTAATCCGCAGAGTCAAAGTTTCATCAGATAAATCCAAACCCATCAATTTCAAAAAAAAACCAACTCTATGAGTCCACGGTCTATCAGATAATTTATTTATTATATATAAAGATAAAGATGGCTATAAAGAAATGCACGAACAGATTGACAAAAAAAATTACTTTACAGAAAGTAAAAAGAAGTTTGTACCAAAGGTGTTAAAAAAGTCTTAACGATACAGTTCTTTAGCAGCATACGACAAGCTAAAGATTTTAACACGAGGGATAGTTAAAAAATGGAAAAAAGCAAAAATCATAAAAATTTAAAAAATTTAAAAAAAAAGGCTGCTTATTTTATCTTTAAAAGCTGAAAATCAAACAGGTAAAGAATAGTTTTTAAAGAATCTATTTTTTGAAGAAGAAGAACACACTGAAGATAATAATGGAATATAGATACAAATAGACGTGTGTATATCCGTATGATATGACACAGATGATTTGCTGAATAGAAAAAGGAAACAAATGGGGTCCACGTGAGGCACGGTTGATAATGAGTTGGTTAAAATTTGTATTTTCGGTGGTTAAAATATGTATTTTAGGGTGGGTGTTTTCAAAGCAAATAGTTGAGTTAGTTGATCCAATGACCATTGAATTTTGATTCAGATATTTGATTGATTATTGAAATTTAAAATGTCGAGTTTTGATCACTTAATTTAGGTCTATATTTTTTATTATTTTTTAAAATATTGAGTTTTGACCGCTGAATTTTGAAAAATATTATACATTACTTACTATAAACTCGACATTTTTCAAAATTCAACATTTATGCTAGTGAGTAGCGTACAATATTTTTTGAAGTTCAATGGCTAAAACTCGATATTTTAAACTTTAATAAGCAATAGAAGACATGGATCTAATTTCAGTGACCAAAAACTCAACATCTTAAACTTCGGTGACCAATCAAAGACATGGATCTAAGTTCAATGTTCATTAAAACAATCAACTCCAAATAGTTTCTTTAATACTTATTTGGACAACTTACAAGTGTTTATGAGTATCAGGGCTTACTACTTTTATGATTAAAACTTAAATCTTAAAAATAAATAATGTGTGAGTATCCTATAGTAATTGTAACTCTTATTTTATTTTGCAGGCTAAATAGTTTTTAAACACAACCAAACAAGTGAATTTCCCATTCAAACGATAGTGGAATACCATCATCTTGAGCAACACGATTCGAACTAGAAAGAAATTGAGTTGTTGAGTTTGACACTTCTGAATTATAAAATTAAAAACTAGATGATTTGGATATGAATATGGATATTTTTGAGTAATGTTATTTAGCCCTATTGAGGTTGTATTCCCACGGCGGTAATGTTACATTAATTGATATTTAAAATTAAATGACATATGAATGGATATGTGGCATGAATTGACTCATTTAATTTCACATTTTATTTAACCTATCATCTAATGTTACCTAGATTGAGATTGTAATCCTATTGGAGCTACATAATATTACTCTATTGATTTGCTTCTAGCTTAGAATAACAGGAATGATTCTCAGTAATTAGTATGCATTTAAAATAATCAATAATTTCTATTATTGAATTTGAAACCTAATATGTAATAATATAACAAGAAACTCACNAGCATACGACAAGCTAAAGATTTTAACACGAGGGATAGTTAAAAAATGGAAAAAAGCAAAAATCATAAAAATTTAAAAAATTTTAAAAAAAAGGCTGCTTATTTTATCTTTAAAAGCTGAAAATCAAACAGGTAAAGAATAGTTTTTAAAGAATCTATTTTTTGAAGAAGAAGAACACACTGAAGATAATAATGGAATATAGATACAAATAGACGTGTGTATATCCGAATGATATGACACAGATGATTTGCTGAATAGAAAAAGGAAACAAATGGGGTCCACGTGAGGCACGGTTGATAATGAGTTGGTTAAAATATGTATTTTCGGTGGTTAAAATATGTATTTTAGGGTGGGTGTTTTCAAAGCAAATAGTTGAGTTAGTTGATCCAATGACCATTGAATTTTGATTCGGATCTTTGATTGATTATTGAAATTTAAAATGTCGAGTTTTGATCACTTAATTTAGGTCTATATTTTTTATTATTTTTTAAAATATTGAGTTTTGACCGCTGAATTTTGAAAAATATTATACATTACTTACTATAAACTCGACATTTTTCAAAATTCAACATTTATGCTAGTGAGTAGCGTACAATATTTTTTGAAGTTCAATGGCTAAAACTCGATATTTTAAACTTTAATAAGCAATAGAAGACATGGATCTAATTTCAGTGACCAAAAACTCAACATCTTAAATTTCGGTGACCAATCAAAGACATGGATCTAAATTCAATGTCCATTAAAACAATCAACTCCAAATAGTTTCTTTAATACTTATTTGGACAACTTACAAGTGTTTATGAGTATCAGGGCTTACTACTTTTATGATTAAAACTTAAATCTTAAAAATAAATAATGTGTGAGTATCCTATAGTAATTGTAACTCTTATTTTATTTTGCAGGCTAAATAGTTTTTAAACACAACCAAACAAGTGAATTTCCCATTCAAACGATAGTGGAATACCATCATCTTGAGCAACACGATTCGAACTAGAAAGAAATTGAGTTGTTGAGTTTGACACTTCTGAATTATAAAATTAAAAACTAGATGATTTGGATATGAATATGGATATTTTTGAGTAATGTTATTTAGCCCTATTGAGGTTGTATTCCCACGGCGGTAATGCTACATTAATTGATATTTAGAATTAAATGACTTATTAATGGATATGTGGCATTAATTGACTCATTTAATTTCACATTTCATTTAACCTATCATCTAATGTTACCTAGATTGAGATTGTAATCCTATTGGAGCTACATAATATTACTCTATTGATTTGCTTCTAGCTTAGAATAACAGGAATGATTCTCATTAATTAGTATGCATTTAAAATAATCAATAATTTCTATTATTGAATTTGAAACCTAATATGTAATAATATAACAAGAAACTCACACAAAAATTTCCAATATTTTTTCTGATGCATGGAACCAACTGAACTAAACTATACTCAATTCATTGCTATTTAGTATTATTAATTTATTTATTAATTTTGGAAAAATGTGTAACGAAATCTCATCTCTTGCCGTTATCATTTGTCTTTCAAATCTATTCTTCCATGACAGTAATATTTGTCAGCGTTGGTAAAATTTTAACACATGTCATCGCACTGATAATGGTTTATGATTATGCCCTTGTTTGAACATCATTATTTGGTAAAGAATGTATTTTAGAATAATAAATTGATGGGAAATGTGTGATTAAAAAGTAAGAAAAAAGTTTAGAATTTGCATGATTAAAGAATGTGTCCTTGAAAAGAAAAGAAAGAATAATCGGGATCATATAAGGGCTATATATGTCAATAATAATTTTACCGTCGTGAATTGCATCGAAGGAGCCAAGAAAATTATTTGTAGTCAATATTTAAGGTTGTGAAGGATTTGAAAAGTGAAAGTTATATAATTGAGTTTTAACTCTTCAATTTACACCTTTAGTGGGAATCTAGGGGTTAGGGTTTGGATAGCCACTGGTACAAAAGATCCACGCCTTCTAGCATGGTCTTTTTCTAAGGTATCCAATGGCTATAGTTCGATTGATTAACATTGGTTTGAAGGATGATTTACTTCTCGAAAGGTCGAGCGTATTGTCTCTAAGTGATGCCGTACGATTTGTCAAAACATAATAAGTGCGCGGTATCTTTCGTGTTAAAATAATAATGACTTCGAAAACTTTCTTTTATAACCGATTATGTCATCCTTTTGCTAAAGAGAATTACCAAATTGCACTAAAACCACTATGAAATGAAGGAAACTCACCCCAATGATTATCAAAGTCTAAATGCACAAAAGAGTTATGCTACTTGGACAAGATTTGGGGATAGGGTTGGTGACAGGTGCTGCCAGGGTTTCGGGAAAGGGTTGGTGTGGTTCCTTTCTTTTTCTTTTTTCATTTTTTTTTAAACTGTTCAATAAAATTGTCCCCCTATTTTTAAATTCTGTCATTATCCCTATTTGTGTAGCATAACTCTGCTTAAAATAGATGTTATTCTCGCATAAGGGAAGGCTTTCTATGATCATACTTTGTGCCCATGATGCTGACACGTGGAAAAACCAAAGCCTTTGGATCGAGGGCTTCAGATTAGTTCCTTCATGTGGTAAGTAATGGTCTTTTTGATCTCTACAACCTTGGAAACTATATTCCCAACTAGGGCGCCAAAAATAAGATCCAGATCTATGTACCTAAGCATTGAATAATTAGTGTCAGTTCAGAAAAATAACTATAATATATAATCTAAATATTAATTTGCCAAATAAAGTTTGATGCATTATTTTACAATATCTTATTGATATCCACTTATACAATAAGACGTTGAGATTTTCAAAGTATATTAAGAGGAGTGCATAAATTTTAATTTGGCATTAGGATGCTCAATGGATGAACAAAATTTTATTCCGAGTAGGTAACGAACTATTATTAATGATATTAGCTTTTTTAGACATTAGAAAGTGAAATTGCAGTGTAATTTAATATCGCGATTCTTTTGAAAAATAATATGGAAATATGACTGTTTGAGTGCAGTCGTACATACATTTGTACAAGCTCAATATTCATCTCTTAGATGTAGGGGCATACTTAGCCCCCGTTTGGCCCCCATTTCTTAGTAATGAAAACGAGAGGAATAATGTTTTTTTTTTTTAAATGAGTGGTTGAAAAAGAAGAAAAAGTTTTCAATTTACATATAATATTATTTTATGGAAGATTGTGTGGTTGAAAATAGAAGAGAGGAAAATGAAATGTAATTTAATGAGCGGGCATTTAATTTGATGCGTTTCTTTTATTCAGGAGTAAAAAAATAAGGTTAAATAGGATAAGAATTAACATTTTTGTAGCGCCGAAATATAGAAAGTTGATGATAGAGGGTGCTCAACCAGCATTTAACCCCGGTTAGCTTTTGACTGCCTATGTTGATTGCATTAATACCTAGAACACACTTTTCTATCAATAAAAATATATTTGATTTTGAGTAGGGTCATTTAAAGTTTCACCTAGCAAAACAGCATGATATACATTCACTACATCTTAGTCCTCCGTTTGGCCTCTATTAAATTTCATTTCATTTTTTTCTCTTATATTTTTAATCATACAATCTTTTATAAAATAATATTACACGTAAACACACCAAAAAAAAAAATCTTCTTTTTGAACTACTCATTTTTCAAAAAAACACTATTTCACCCATTTTTATTTCTAAAAATGGAGGCCAAACAAGTGCTTACATTAATGAAAATGATAATGGGATGGGACACGTACCACAAATATAATTTTTCATTTTTAAAAAAAAAAAATTGACTTGAAAAGAGTCAAACTGATAGCAAAAAAGATTGTTAGGTAACTTAGCGACCATGGACATAATGATCGAATTGTAATGACAATCAACTTTTTGACTTCATATGAGAATAGAGATTTTGTTGTTCATATGTCAAGAGTCGATAAGGTTTTGCTCATCGTATCGAATTAAACCACATTCTACATTGCTTGTCAGGCCCTACCAATTTCTTTGAGTTTCGATCTTGAAACCAAAATTCCGTTAAAGTTGAGTTATTCCAAGCGTTTGAGTAGGATAGATTAAACTTAGATTAAATGTAATAAATATTATATATTATTCAACGTTCAACACAATCCTATGTATTACTTTCAAAAGTCTAACTAATATCCCAAAAAAGTGTGACTAATAAATGGGCTAACAAAGTTGAATGCTTGATTGCAATAGTGCACATTTATGTCCTTCGAAAAAGGGTAGGGTACACAGTTATTAAAGGCTCCATTAATGCAACAATGGATATTTGGGATGGGACACAGCATAGAGGACCACCTAATCAATGCCATATGGGGACCTCCATTGAATTGCATCAATAATAAACCTGAGTTATGCAGTTGGATGCTAGATTTAGTCATCCTACTCTTCTTGAAAATCTTCGGCAAGTTCGAGTACACTATAATGAATGAGAAAGTGTTACATGTACAATCAGAGTTAACAACTACGTACAAGGAAGGGGGCTCATGATGAATAAAAATACGTGGCCCCCCTCCGATGAGTACGTTGACAATTCTGATTGTACAACTAAAAAAATCTTAATGAATAATAGTAATGTATAATGCTTTTATCTTTCACAATTTAGTCCGTTGTTTAGTGCACAACACTAGAGTATTGTAAATGAGATAAGATTATCTTCACAATTCTGTCGACTTGCATGTTGTGTCTGGTACTAAACATAATAATATACAAGATTTTTATCTTTCACAATCTTTTTCAATAACATATTTAGTACGTAGTACCAGAATGTATTACAATTGCGAAAGAATTTTCACCTTTCACTATCTTGTCCATTGGTGTCTTGTCCCGTATAACAAGTTAACCATGCCATTTTTGTTTTGACTGTGGCTGGATTTCATGTATTCTCCATGACATATTTTGCATTTGGTGACCAACTTCAATTGAAAGGGGATTGAGTGGAAAGCTTTATTTGAATAAGAATGTCCAAATAGATAAACTGCTTTTTGCATGTACTAAAATATTTGATTATTTATTTATTATTTCTTTTTTTTTATTGACAGTGGATTGTGCAATTGGATTATTTTTGTATAGAGTGATGGAAAATTTAAACAAAATGCTTCAGATGGAGGTATCAAAATGTGGTAGACTGCCCACATGTAAAAGGCACAGGCCATGCCGAGTTCATGCCTTCAATGAAAAGGGAAAAAGCAGAAGCATCTGAATTAAGTTTTGAGACATGAAGTGAAAGCCAAAAAAATTATTTTACGAGATAGTGTTACTGTTACAATAGGCACTGTTTTTATTTTATGGGAATGAACTTTTATTTTCACCACACAATAGGAATCACTCGAACCTAATACCGTAACTCAAGAAAATAACATTTATGACACGAAATTGAAGTGTTAATCTCAATGTAGTATTATCCTTAATTTTCAAACAATCTGAATGGAAGAGACAGAAGATGTAATTTCTGTTGTTCTCGGATCATTATTCTCTAAGCATACGCCATGAGGATCTTCTCTCACTAGCAATGCAAGAACATTGAGTGAACTCCATGTTTTGATCACTTTGTTGCTTGAATCCCCGAGGGCGACAGCAAAGACAGCATCAAATCCACCTGCACCAGGCACACCAGCTAATAGAACTCCTTCCATGTTCATTGTGGTGTCCAGAAGCCGGGTTTGTGATTCTGGCTCTATCTGAAAATGGCAGTCATGTTACAAAAAAATGCAGAGGTAGCACAGGACACTGATAAAGATGACTTTTAGTGCATGTTTGTCCAGTGCAATCTATTTCTCCCTGCCAAACATAATGCCCCTAGGATTTTTGTTGTAAAATAACATAGGGTAACAGAGATACGACTACGAGTCACATATAACATTTGGCTCTTTCGTAAGGGAAGGTCCCATTGAATTGGAGCCGTGGGTATAATTCAACCTTGCACATACATACCCTTTCTCTTACAATCAGTGGGGCAGGAACAGGAAGGATGCTAAGAAACAAAATGAATGTGATCATAGAATATGGATTAGGATTTGATGGATATAAGTTTTAATACCTAGTCCCCACAAAACCAGGAAACAACACCTTGACTTTAAATTGAAATCCCAGTTTCTTCTTCTGCCAAAAACAGCTACCGAGTAGGAATTTTAAATTGTCTATCAATGGAGGGACAGATTCACCTCAAAACATCAGCTTTTAGATTTTATTTAACTAAATGTTCAACACATAAATTGATTTGGAAGTTTCAAACGTAGTTACTCTATGCTCCAATGCAAAAGACAATTAAATTAAACCTGAGAAAACTAGACATGGGCACACAAAAGTTTCCACTTGAATAAGAGAGACTCACAGGTATTCCGGCTGCTTCTCCCATCTTGCGCATGTTATACCGGATTGCAAGCATCGCATCTCTAGCTCCTAACAATTCTCTAACAACTTCTACTCGGCTTGGCTCACTGGCCCTCTCATTCCACTGTTAATCACCAAAAGTTCAATTTAAGCATTCCAACATTTACATGAGGATATCCGTCCAGAATCAGAATGAAAAGGTCAATCTATGCACTATTGCTTCAACCATCAGATAATATTTTCAGATGCGACTCTTTAAAAAGGTGCTTATAGAGTGTTGGAGAATACTCCTACTGAATACATCCTATACAATGGGGTATGCCCCCCATTATGTTCTACGGTACTTCTAGTTTCTGTTAATAAATACAAATGCTTAATTAATTAATCTCCCAACCAAAGAAAAGAAAGGAATAAATGAAAGAAAGAAAAAAATCCTATTAAAATTTTCAGTTTACTAGTATTAGTTATTTCAAAGCATTGTTCAAATCCAGTAACTAGCAATCTTCTATTTATACAATTTCCCTGCAGTTAAATCCTGACTCTTTCTGTATCCCTCAAATGGAAATAGAATCTTTAACATTATCCTTCAAATAAATAAATAATTGAGCTTGCACGTATGCTGTATCTAATGAGGATCATATCAGATACTGCTAGCGGATTCCAAGCAATGTCGATTTAGTTGGGAAGATATTTGTATACGTAGATAGCAAGAATCAAGAATGTTCTGTTATATTATCTTCATGAATCATAGATGTTTCTATAGTGTGTTTTGCTTGAGGGGTCTTTTTACATAGCAAAAAATGTACATTACGTAAAATCATCTTATAGATAACAAATAAGAAGCATATATTTAAAAAGTAGTAATTACTATAACCTCTTTTGCTACCTTCTCAGGAGTAAGATTGCTGCAGCTATTGATGACACTTGTATAAACATCACTATTTTTCTCTGCCAATTTGCTAAGGTTGTTGAGGTGCATTTCAAGTGAAGAATTTGCTTCTGACAACTTCTTCCATGTTTCTAGAGAGTTTTCAGGATCAGATTTTTGCCACTTCTTTACAGCACCAACCATTGACGGCGTTGATGATCCTCCAGCTCCTGGTTCTCCAAGTAACTGCAAGTATGTCATGATTACTTCAAAGCAACTTTAAAAGAGAATGAACTGCATACTCCAGTTCATTTACACCACGCAAGTGTTTGTGCTGTCCACCTATTATAATATGATGCAAGATGTACCACGAGAGAGAGAGAGAGAGAGAGAGAGTATCAATTGACAGGAAAGTGGAAAATTAGGAGGGGAGACTTCATTGCCTTCAGGATAATTGGGGGCACAAGATTAAGAGGATTTGGAAGTTGAAGACTTCCTGTCCCGTTTGCATTTTAATTTTTAGTTTTGAGTTTTGGATTCATTTTCAGTTTTCTATTTTGAAGGTCTAAGACCTGTTTGAGCCATATTATTTCAAAAAAATACATTCTTAAACAGTGATTTGATATCATTTCAACCACACATTCTTCAATAAAATAATATTACACGCAAATCAAAAACTTTTCCTTATTTTTTAACCACACATATCACATCAATACACTATTCAAGAATGCATTATTACCAAAATAATGTGACTCAAACACCCCTCCATTTTAAAATTGTTTCTCAAAACAAAAAATTGGAAATCACATTTGTTTGGAATTTTTTAAAATTGTTATACGACATTTTATTTAATGAATTTGATTATTTAATAAAATAGAACAATTTTATATCAATATATTATCAAGTAATATACATTTTAAAATTGGTGAATTTTACAATATTTTTTTCCCTACAAAAGAAAATACAAACAAAGGTATATATGATCAGAGATCGAATCTTGGTATATACAAACAAAGTTAGAAAATCCAAATTTTATCTACAAAAGAATATCCTAACCAGCAATATTGGTATATATGATCAGAGAACGAATCTTGAAGTCAATATTCTGGTAGTTTTTATAAGTGGCCAGCAACGAAGGTCATAGTTGATTACAGAAGCATATGTTCATGTTTCATGAGTCTACCGTTAGAAGGTGGCTTCTAATAATATAGCTGATAGACAAAGAAATGGTAGGAGACTAAACGTAATAGAAACTTTTAAAATGATAATAACTGTGAGCATCTCAACACGTACATATTAAAATAGCATTACAGGGCATGTTTGTAGGACTTACAAGAGTCATCATGGGAGGCAGTGAAAATTTAGTTCTCTCATGATTCCAGTTGGCCTTTAGAACATTGTTGATGGCCTCTTCTATTATCATCCCTCCCTGTAAATAACAAGCTATCAATGATAGAAACAAGAGCTAAAGACAGTTCATGAACTTGTTTCGAATTTCATTTTACAGCAGAGTATGTTATTATGTGATGACTAAATTGACTCTTGGTTTATCTCTGTGAGAAAGCTGAACATAAATATGCACCACATTGTCTATCAACAACCCTTAGACCCTGAACGTATGCTACCCTCACTAGTTGTTCCCTATACAGTGGAAGGATAGACAATGTGATGCGGACATCACTAATATTATTATCGCACTATTTTACTTTTTCTAGTTATTGGGCTTGTATTATTGGTTTGGCCCAAGCTCATCACTGGTAGGGTTATGCTTTTACTATTTATATGATTTTCAATTGTAATTTCAGCAGACGATGATGAATTAGAATTGAAATATTATTTGGCTTGCAGCCGTTTTCTCCCTCCCCTCTCTTCCCCTGGTTTCTTCTCCTCTTCTCCCTCCTCTCGGTTTCTCGCTTCTTCCTTTCCCTGTTTTCTGCTTCTCTCGTTCTTCCTCTCCTCCCCTTCTTGCTTCTTATCCTACATCAAAGTGGTATCAGAGCCAAACCTGACTTCCTTCAACCATTGCTCAAAACTAGTCAATTTACTCTTCTGCCATCACCGCTGCCACCATAATCAGGAAACAGGCCCAACTCCCACCATAACCACTGCTGCAACTCTCCCACAAAAAAAATCGCCACTAGCCTGCCACTAACCAATCCATCGGCATCACAACAATCCCAAACCCAAAAACGTGTACCTAGCAGTAACCGTCCCTCTTAACTGCCAACAACTACCAATCTTCCCATAACCTACATCAACAACCTATTAAAACCATAAAAAAACACCACCACCCCCATAAGCCAAACCTCCAACCAACAGTAACCGCCGGCCACTTCACAGTTGGCAACTCCGCCAAATTCAACCACCCAAACCGTCACCACCAAAAGTTTCACAATTTATTGTGCGAAGTCACATACCCAACAACACAATCGGCTCCACACCACTTGGCCAGCGATTTCAATCCAAACATTATCAGTCACACCAACAACCGTTGCTGCAAATCTGTCCCTGAGCACCACACCCGAAAACGTCAAACAATTTCGAGCCTACTAGTCATCTACAAATCGCCTCCAAATCAGCGAAGCCTCCTCACTCGCGACAACAACCAAAAACTGAAAAACCCAAACTGCAAATCGACCCATCGCCTTCTTCAAATTCAAATGGCTACAACGCCAGCCAGTACAAAAACCAACCATCGCTGCTGCCTACACCTCTGCCGGCAATTGTACAGATGATGGAGCAAATATTGGGGGTCATTCCCGTAGGGAAGGGTCGGGAGTTATTTCCAAGCCCAGTTACCTATTTTAATTTTGAAATTTTGTTTGGGCTTTAGTATATAGCCTCTTTAATTTTGTTTTTGGGCCACTATTTCTATCCCTGCTTTGGCCCATTTGTTTAGTAAGGATTTTTCTAATTTTTTTTTTAAAAAAAAGGCGAAAAAAAAGGAAAGAAGTGTTAAAAAAAAAAAAGAAGAGTATTTTCTAACATTGTTTTGCAGACACCTCTTCCTGTTCTGTTGATCAATCCAGTCGCTTCGATGAACAAAAAGGGGAGTTACTATTCTATTTATCTTTGGTACATTACTGTTTATCTTAGAAATTGCATCAATTAAATTTTTGTGCTGCTGCTAATCTAGTTGTTTATCTAAACTCACGTAATTGGATCCATTCACTTCGTTAAGTTCCACTTTTACCTTACTTATTTTACGTGATTAGAGTTTGACTAGTATTTGACCCCTTGCTTTACTATTTTACTTATACCAACAAGATTAGCTTTTTTGGATTTTAATCCCAAAATTTAAATTTAAAAAAAAAAAATAGCTCAAATTTTCATTTTCCATTACTTGCACTTTTTGTTCGTTAATCTCTCTATTGCATGTCATTAAGTTGCTATTCCAGTGTAAGTAGTTACATATTGGTCATCTTGTCACTTCTAGCTCCAGTACCTTAAACTTGGACCCCTCACAATTCGATGCACTCACCCGACAAATAGCGGCTATTCAAACTCAAATGACCGCTACTCTTGAAAATAGTAAGGCGCTATATGTTAGTTTGAAAAATTTTAAACACATCCCTCATTCAATTGATGTTGATAATTCTAAAGTGTCCCATAATAGACAACATCGTCGACAAGGTAATCAAAAATACTTTCGACCCGATCGTAAGGACAGGGATAGGAATAGGGATCAGATTCGTGAGCGAGAACGAGATAATTTTGAAATTCTTACTCAATGGAATGCCCTTAAACAAGGAAATCAATTAGTGACTGAGTATATCGCGCAATTTGAGAAATTTTGAACCAAATGTCATTTAATTGAGGATGAGAGCACGACTTTGAGTAGGTTTAACCAAGGTCTGAGAGATGATCTTAAGCGCGAGCTTTTCTTTCGAAGTGTCACTACTCTTAATCACGCTTACTCTTTAGCTCGAGATTATGAGTTGATTATTAGTACTCCATATGAAAAGCGTGGCCATCGTCGTTCTCCCATCTCATTAGCGTCGCCTCACTATAAGTCTATCATAAAACCTTCTCCATCTAATGTTCCTCCTATTTGGAAAAATAATTGTAAAGGTCGTGATAGTCCAAGAACTTCTTCTCCATGTAGAAAGCATATTGACAATCATCCTTCGGTGTCATTGGCTCCACTTCCTCCCGTTAAGTCCCTTCTAGGACCTCCTCCGTCTGATGTTCCTCCAATTTTGAAAAATAAGGGTAAAATTTTTTATAATCATCATTTGGCTTCATTGGCTCCACCTCCTCCCGTTAAGTCCCTTCTAGGACCTCTCCCTTCTAATGGTTCTCCAATCTTGGAAAATCAGGGTAGAATTTCTGAAACTTCAAGGACTTCTTCTCACTTGTTGTGCGTCAACTGTAAAGACTTTGGTCACATTTCTTCTAAATGTCCTAATCGAACCTTAGTCATGGAAGAACGAAAGAATGTAATAGAGGAGCCGTTAGAAGATCTAGTCTATGAACCTAAACATAAAGATTTTGATGACTTGGATCATAGTGAGGACACTCCCTTAGGTGGAATCCAAACTCTTCCCGAGACTTTGGATACTATACCCCTTATCTCTGACAATTCTCGATCACATGTTATATGTCATACCCTTACCCAAGTTAAAGAGCTTGATGATGTCACCAGTCACCCTTGGAAAATCCAGTCGCCTGTAGTTAACACTAAGGCAAAATTATCCACCACTGACCAACCTCAAATTGATGGTCAAAACAAAAGTGCTAACCAAAATCCTAACAATTTATTACGGTCTCTAGTCAAGAAAAATCTTGGGAATTGGGACTTGATCCCTCAAACTGTTCAAATTGCATATAACGATCCTGTGAACTAGTCTTTAGGTCCAAAACCCTTTGAAGTTATTCTTAGTTGAGAACCTTTGAAACCTCTAGACCTTATTCCCATGCACCCACATGCTTGTGTCTATGTCAGTTGAGGTAGTTGTATCACATTTTCATAACTTGCATATTGAGATCAATAAACAATTTGAAGCAAGTAAAGCATTATATAAACCTCAAGTTGATTGGTATAAACAACACTTTGAATTTAATATTGAAGATTATGTTATATTGCAAGCATGTAATGTTGGTCTTTTTAAAATTTCAAAGCATGTTGGTCAAAATGCCTATGTCAATGATCTTTTATCACAGTATGACCATCACCCTATTTTATTTGTTAAAGACTTCGATACTTACAATGGCTATTTTAACACTTTTGTTGATCCTTTTCTATCTTTACCTGAGAACTCTCACACCGAATCTTTTGCTATATCTATTCGAATACCACCTGTCACAGCACACAAAAATAAAATTGATGTAATTTTAGATGAACGGGTTGTGTTAACCATTGATGGAGAGAATCGTTGCTTCTTTAATTGTTGGGTAGATCAACGTCTTATTGTGCTCCACATTATGCGCAATCATGTGAAGATTTTGAAGATGAGTTGCAGGAGTACTTGTTATTTGGAGTCCAATGTCGGTACTTGATTAAAATGAGGGATCGTCCGCCTTGGTCGAATCATATTCTTGAGGACAAGTTGCCATTGGCATTGTTATCAACCGTGAAGTTCAGATATTTGGTTCTTCAAAAAGATCATCCACCGTGGTATGAGTTCAGACATTGAAGATTGACGGTAGCTCTTTGTCATTTGTTCACTCGACAGAGACGAGTTTTTCTTCCACCCCGGGAGAATTGATGCGGACATCACTTATATTATTATCGCACTATTTTACTTTTTATAGTTATTGGGCTTGTATTATTGGTTTGGCCCAAGCCCATCACTGATATGATTATGCTTTTACTATTTATATGGTTTTCGATTGTAATTTCAGCAGACGATGATGAATTAGAATTGAAATATTGTTTGGCTTGCAGCCGTTTTTCCCTCCCCTGTCTTCCCCTGATTTCTTCTCCTCTTTTCCCTCCTCTCAGTTTCTCTCCTTCTTCCTTTCCCTGTTTTCTACTTCTCTCGTTCTTCCTCTCCTCCCCTTCTTGCTTCTTATCCTACATCACAATGACAATGAGCTTTTCAGAAATAAGTTCAAATTGGTCTCAGCAAAGAAAGGACATAATGCTTTTGTGAAATTAAATACAATGGGGCATTTTCAATGTGCCCTTTATGAAGACATATATATATATGTATTTTTTATTTTTTTTTCTCTTTTTCAATTGCAGTTGTCAATTCGAAGATTTTTAACCATCATTCTGGTTAACAATAATTCATCACATCCCAGAAATTTGTGATGTGCTATTCAACTCAATGGTCTGTTGGTTCTCACTCTATCACTTCTTTTTAGTTGCTCTGCATTCAGCATATCAGCATTACTAAACTAGGAAGCATAGGTAAAGAAACAAAGCAATTAGTACAGTTGCACAAAATTTTGAAATCTTCTTCAGTGGAACCAACCACCAAAATACGGACAAAACATGTCAACTCTCAGTCTTTCCATGTGATTGAGAGTTATCTACTCTGCACTTATTAAATCGACCTGACGGTCCAGTTGCCAATTAAATGAGAAATCTTCAGCAAACTGCAAGATATACAGGAAATCTATCATTTGAAGATATTTGTATTTCCTCCTACAGGTTTCGCCATCTTCTTATGTCGATTCAATATGTTCTCTTTTCATTTCTTTAACCACATCAAAAACTACTAACTTGTTAGGTTCTCATCAGGTATAAAGTTATAATTTTTGCAAAAACAACTTCCAGGTAATGATAGATATCTATTCAACTGACTTTTGCTTACTACTAACAGTTATTGAGAAGCTCTTTTTTTGAAACACGTTCATTAACATCAAAGCGTAAGTCATCCCAAAAAGATTGAAAATAGAGTTACTTCATTCCGATGTCCAAATCCAAAACTTCCAAATATAAGATAGAGGATGTATTTATTGTTTTATTCGAGTAAATGCATAATCAAAGAGCTAGACAGGAAGCTATAGTAGGATACCTGAGCGGATGAAAGCACTTCCGGAGAAAACCGTACATACCGCTGACTGCCGTAAACGGCAGAACTAACATCAAAACCACTGCCAACTTTACCTTGTGCAATGCAGTGAGCAGTTTGAGCAATCACATGCACAATATCCAGTTCCCTAGCATCTTTATTTTGTTCAATTTGACCTTTAGTCGAGGAAAGGTTGAGAAGCCCAAGGTAATGAAGTAAAGCAGCAACAACAGCAGTTGTCATGGCTGCTGACGATCCCAAGCCAGTTTTTGCAACTTCAGGCTTGCTATTTTGTCCACTTGATTCTTCTGCATTGAAGGTAATTGAAGCAAAGGGTGGAAGGGAAGCCAGTGATTCTGGAGTAAGTGGAAGCCCGCGTGCTTCAATCTGTGAAACAGAGTAGCGATATTCTCATGATTAATCATCTATGAATAATGAAAATCCACTAAAGTACATGTTCAAGTGTCTGAATGCTAGTCTTCATAAGTACATATACATCAAGATGTGTATATACGTGTGTGTGTGTCACATTCACATATGCATACCAATAAACTATAAATTTCATTTAGCATGCTGACAACTATTGAAAATAGAATAGTATAACCAGACAAGTATCTAAAAATCTCAATATTATACATGTATACGCACATATATCTCGTATGGATCTTATTTAGCATGCGCACAAGCATATGACTATAACAAAGTATCTTATCCTTCTCTTATGAAAAGCAACGTGAATAATATGAAACTTCTGCTGCCTTTTCATTTTTCTTTATTGTGCAATTTCCCCAAGATCAGAATACTTCATCATTATAACAAATGCTACACGGCCCAAAGTAACAGAATAATTGCAACACTTAAAAAAGTCAATTTTGCTTTCTGGAAGTTCCTAGTATGTATCACAATCTTAAAAAATTACATTCTGAAGTCATAAAAACTAAAAAATATGACTGTAGAGTAAATAAAAATATGAAATTTTATAGTCCCCCCTACAGTTACATGTCCACATAAAAACAAGTGGATAGGAACTCAATGCATCAACATTAATCCTCCAACACCTCAAACTAAAGAAAAAGAAAATGATAGCTGAAAGGTGGCATATCCGATACAGTCCTAACTTCGGTATTGCAAGGTGACAAATCAGTATGTGAAATGAGGAAGAGCTAAAAAATGTCGTTTTGCTAAAGAGTACAGTTCTGGACAATAACTTCAGCATCAATATTGTCCGGTGTAATAAGTTGCTGCCATATATGGCATACACATAGGAAATGCATATGAAATCGCGATAACTGAATATATAGGAAGTACATACATAACTTCAATTGCCTCATCTCTTTAAAACTTAAACTAAGAAATTTTTGGTTTAAACTTTCTAAGAAAGGAAAAAGAAGAAAGAGAGAGACTTCATCTTCACTTTCAATTCTCTAATACTAGTTTGGAACGACTTACTTTGATGCATTGTAACTTTTGTTACGGTTGGTCGTTTCACAAGCCATTATCTAGAGAAAAAACTAGGCCATTAGTACTTCAAAATGGTGTTAAGAATGTAATGTTTCAACTTCATTTGGTATCCCGTAATGAATGCATTAAAGCAAGTCGTAAAGGGGTCAAAACAACTATGCTGCTAATGTGTATTGCACTGCATATTCTACAAATGGATTCCTTGATGGACTGAAATCAGAGATCAGCATCAGAACTTCACATCGAAAAGTAATTGGGAAATGTTTTTTTATGTTGATTAAAAGAATGTTAAGCTATTGGCTGAATAGAGCCCGTTGGATGCCCAATTACCAGCAAAATCAAAGAAGTGAAACAGACGAGAGAGGAAAGTAATGTTTGTACAAATTTGTGCTTACCTTGAAGAAACACACTGAAGTGTTAAATGCTTAAGTGACATTTTGTACATAGTTTCTCTTGCCATTTGAGGAGAAGTTAGTTTCACATCTGCCCATGCCTGAAATGTGATGAAGAGATCGGTGACATAATACACTAGAAAGGACATAATTATCTCGTAGGGATTGATCAAGAGGATAGCAAGCACTAAAGAATCTCGAATGTTTAATCAACTCGACAAAAAGTAATCTCTGATCATTTTCGCATAAATTTTTATAACATATTTAAGGATCAAGCTAATAATTTGTCCTACTAAAACCTTGCAGTATCTTGCACTTGTGCTTGAAGTTCTCTCACTCCATAATGATATAATGGTAGGGCTTCTGATTTGTTCATGACACCCCCAAAACACTAAAGATGGAGACAGGTATATATACTCAAATTAATAGATCGACGTTATAATTCCAGACTCCACAGGAAGCCACGAGCTCAAACATATCTAGTAAAACTAAAATTTGTTTGAACACAACGAGTTGACATTTATTGTTAAAATAATAAGATAAAAGACCCTCATCTTCACACAAGAGGGAGGGGGTCATAAAGGAAACTTCCTAACCCAAACACATGAGTAAACATTAGGAATTATAACTCTTTAAGAAATTAAAGTAAAACCAAACTGTATCTGTAAATAAATCCAGACATTATTTACTCCATAATCATGACAATATCCCGAAATTCATTCAGCTAGTTAATATTGGCTTTATCCATCTCATATGAAGACCAGTCAGTCTCCAGTGAAGCAAGTTTAAACCGCATTCAACCACCATCGTTTCAATGACCCAATCCCAAGGCTTAAGAGCAGCATTGTTGCTGCTGATGCAGCTCAAAACAAAGATGATTGTTTGAGGCCTAAGCACGGTCCCGTATAGCAATGTACAAGGAGAAAATTCTCCTAGTCCACCTAGTTGTGCTACAATAACAGGGTTTCAATCCAAATTTTAAATCCAAACAACACGAGTCATGCAAAAAAAAAAAAAGCAAGGCAGCAGATGCTGCCACGCACAGTCTGGATCGAAAGCCAATTTTTAAATTTCCATTGTCCACCATGACCAGACACTCTGGTCCTACGTTACATGCAAAGCTAGTCAATCGTATAATTTGACACTTGATGTCTAATCAGAAAGAGAACACTCCCAAAAGAATATTAGGATGTGTTTGATATGCCCAAAATTTCCATGAAAAATGAAAATCCAATTCCAATTCCATGTTTTTGCTTGTTTGATGGCTCTATTTTTCCATGAAATTCATTTTCTAGCTTTTCATGCCACCTAGGATTTTTCTTACTTCTCGGATACTGTAGCACTTTATATATATATAATTTTTTTTTTTTTTTTTGTGGCAATGGAAACAAATTTTAAGAATTACCGTAAAAAAATATTTTTTACTTTGACTGACAATTTTCATGTAAAATAAAGCCAAACGAACACCAAAAGATAAATGATTTTTTCTTGAATTTTTTTTGTTGGCAATGGAAACAAATTTCATCCCCAATGCCAATAAATTTTATATCTTTAATCAACAATTTTTATGTAAAATAAAGCCAAACAAACACCAAAAAACACTTTTATTTCAACATTTTTCATATGAAAAATTATACCAATCAAACGCAATAATATACATTTTCGGGAAAACAATTTCTAGACAATTCAAATCCTTGTAATTCATTTTCTTTTCGCTCAAATTCCATCTTTACAATCAAACGGACCCTTAGATGACTAACCAACTACCGATTATTTAAAAAAAAATAAAAAATAAAACTAAAAGAATCCAAAACTCATTTATAAAAAGAAAGAAGATAAATGTGTGTGTATTAAGTCATACGCACCCATGCCCAGCTTTCAGGTTTGACTTCCTCATAAAGTGGCTTCACAATTGCATAAAAACGAGCATTTGTACTAAGCACAATTCCAGCATTAGGCCTCTCCAGAACAAGATAACCCCCAGTCATCAAAACCTTTCCAGGAGCAGAAGCAACTCTATCAACCATCAAAAGTAGTTATTTAATACAAAATTTCCCATTGTCTGGCAATGTCTTAGATTTGATAAAATAAAAAGATATAGAAGCAAAATTAAAAACTAACTTACACAGCCATTTCTCTAGGATTTTAAATCTGATGCTCCAGTAACAGTGCCTTCAAGTTCAACTGAGTAGACCTGAAATTAAAAGTCAATAGATACCACTGTGATCAAAAACCGATGTCGATTTTTAAATTCAACTGAACTGGAAGTAATATCTCAATTGAAAATCGATTAGACAGTAAATGATAATAAAATCTGGCAAACAATCAACGAAACTGAGTTTGCTTAATACAGAAAGTTTCGAGCATAAATAATCGAGAGAGTATATACAGATTAGAGAGAGAGAGAAGATTTTACCCGGCTGATGATGCAGAGGATTCGCAGAGTTGAATCCAAGCGAAAGCGATGACTACAATGCACAAAGTGGGTGGCTGAGTTAGTCAGCCTTTGCGCTTAAATTTTTGACGTTTAGACTTCAAACTTGTATCACCGTGACCGGTCCCATTTCACTTGCAAAATATAAAAAAATTGTAACAAACGAATATGTAAAAGGGTGTTTGGTCTTCATTTAGAACCTCCTTTTTTATTATTTATTTATGTTGACCCCCAAAAATGTTGCCAACGGATGTCGGATTCACCGGCACACGCGTGAGCGAAAGTTCAACACGTTAAGACACGTTGACGGTCTAAAACGGACAGATCAAGGGGCGTGGGAGTAGCTCAACGGTGCGGGACGAGAACGTTCGGAATCCAACAGGATGTTCGTCAACCAATTGTACAATAATTATCAATCGATATTTGTAAATGTGTATCTAAATATGTATGAACTCGTTTATGTTGCAAGATAATAAGAAAAAGGGAGTTAAGTAAAGTATGATTTTTTGTATTGATTCTTGCATTAGCCTTTGTATGAGGTACATGGGGAGTATTTATAGTGTCATAAGTTAGATCATGACATTTGGTTCGGGGTACACGTGGCCTCATCTGGTTAATTTACATGTCAAATTGTAGGCATCAACCGCACCTAACTTGCTATACATTTATTGATTTGCAGAGTCGCCTCTACTAGTGACAAGACTTAACATTTACACTCATGACAAACGTCCTATCAATCATTCAAGTAAGATCTTTGTGTAGAGAATTTTTGGAAGAAGTGTCTATAGAAGATACTGCTTTGTGATTCGGAGGCTGCTACCTCGACTACAAAGCTTCAGCCAACAAGGCCTCGTCCACCTTCAAAAGACCTCAGCATATAGGCTTGGAAGCTCCTTAAGAGGCAATGATAGATGGGCCTCAGTACATATGGGCCTAGGCTTCCGTGGACCTCGGCTATGCAAATCACCTTGGCTTGAGTGACACGTGGTTCGGCATGAGTTGGCTGTGGATCCCGGTGGGTTGCCCAAGTGTATGAACACGTAACAATAGTCCCCTAAGAATTTTTCGGAGGCAACCCCAAAAGCGTATTTGAGGAGGTTGAGCCTCATCCTATACCTTCTTAAGATTTGGAATGTGTTGTTGAGGTGCGTTATGTGATCCCCAGCTTCCAAACTTTTCACAAGCATGTCGTCTACGTAGACCTTCATTGTCTTGCCAATGAAGTCCACAAACATTTCGTTGACGAGCCTTTAATGTGTGGCCTGGGCGTTTTTCAACCCGAAGGGCATCATCTTATAGCAGTAAAGGCCTTTGTCTGCGATAAAAGAGGTGTGTTCCTCATCAGCAGGGTGCATGGGAATTTGGTTGTAACCGGAGTATACGTCCATGAAGCTCAACAACTCGTGCCCAGTCGTGGAGTCTACCAGTTGATCAATTCTTGGGAGTGAAAAGTTGTCCTTCAAGCAAGCATTGTTGAGGTTAGTGAAATCAATGCATACCCTCCATTTTACGTTGTGTTTCTTCACTAAAATCGGGTTGGAGACCCACCTCGGATAGGTGGCCTCCCTGATAAAGCCATTTCGGATGAGCTTCTGAGCTTCTTCCTTCAGGACCTCATACCTCTTAGGGTTGAGGGCCCTTCTCTTTAGTCTGTGCGGGGCAACTTTAGGATCAATTTTCAAGCGGTGGCAACTGACCTTGGAGTCTATGCTTATCATGTCCTCATGCCTCCAAGCAAAGATATCAAGGTTCCTACTTAAAAAATCATTGATCTCTTCTTTCAAAATGTTGAACAAGCCTTTGCCCACTTTCAACAATTTGGATGGGTCTCAGGGATCCACCGAGAAGCTCTCAAGTTCCTCGACTGGGGATGCTTGAAGTTCGTGTTCAATTATGCGGGGGTCAATCTCATCGATAACCAATACGTTCAGAATGGGTGGTGTGTCGATCATTTCCACATCTTCTGGTTCGGGGGGAGAGGAAGCAAGGGCCCAAAAAATCGAAGACGCGGCCAAGCTGGAGTCTGCTTTAGCTCAGATTGAGGCCTTGAAGAAGGAGGTCTATGAGTCCCAGTGCGAGGTAGCTTCCCTTACCAAGAAAGTGGAGGTCTCCAATGACCACCAAAATGTGACTGCTGAGGCCTTGGAGAAGGCAAATCTGGAGCTGGCTGGGGCCCAAGACGCCTACAAGTTCTTGTAGGGCCAAATAAAGTGACATGTGGATGAATTGGCCAAGGCAAAGAAGGAGGCCAATGTGGCGAGGGAGGACGCAATCAAAGACTACATTGCCAACTTTCACAACACCGAGGAGTACAAGGGCTTCAGCATCTACAGGAGGAGAAATTATGCTTATGCCAAAATGATGGAGAGGGCTGAGGAACTCTACCCAAATCAAGACCCGTCACAGCTGTTGTTGGAGTTTGTGGATGAAGTGCCTCAGACCCCAGCTGATGAAGCGGTTGTGGATAAAGCAGCGGAGGCAGAAGAAGAGAGATATGATGCTCAGGCTGCGGAGGCTCCTGCTACCGTGTCATCTCCACCATCATCCGAGGCTTAGGATAGTTTACTTTTCAGTTAATTCTGATGTACTGGCCTTAGGCTCTCCTTTTGTTACTAATTGAAAATCAATATAATCTCTTTCATTCAATGTTGTTCTTTTTCCAAGTGCATTGGCCTCGTTAAGTAATTGAACTTAAGATTGATTGAAGAATTAAATAACCTTGACTTGATATCCCAACTCCAATCACTTAAGCAAGTAAATTGTATTTAAGCCATGCGAACCATGATTGATATTGGACTTAAGCAAGTAAATTGTACTTAAACTTAATAACTGTAACCTAAATAGATCCTAAGACTGGACCGTCTTTCAGCTGAACTGAGAACATTGCTAGGTCTAATTGAAAAGGTAGTTGCGTGAAACTCGTAGTGGTTGAGCCTTGTGAATTAATGGATAAAGAAGTTCGATCCTCGTTGAGGTTTCTCCCCTTGACTTTTAGTATCGACAAAGGGAGGCAAGTTGCATGAGCCTCGAAATTTAAGCGAGGTGGCCCAAAGATGGGATGCGGACCTCTCCTCCGAGGTGACGATACTTCCCAACATGATGGATGGTTCATCCATGTTGAGCCTTCTCCCAGAGGCGTTCAGCCTCGCCAAAGGAAGAAAAGTGGCGTGCTCCTCGGAGTTTAAGCGAGGTGGCCCAAAGATGGGACGCTGACCTCTCCTCCGAGGTGACGACGCTTCCCAACATGGTGGAAGGTTCATCCATGTTGAAGCTTCTCCCAATGGCGTTCAGCCTCACCAAAGGGAGGCAAGTGGCGTGCGCCTCGGAATTCAAGCGAGGTGGCCAGAGATGAGATGCTGACCTCTCCTCCGAGGTGACGACGCTTCCTAACATGGTGGAAGGTTCATCCATATTGAGGCTTCTCCCAATAACATTCAACGTCGTCAAAGGGAGGCAAGTGGGCGTGCCTCAGAGTTCAAGTGAGGTGGCCCAGAGATGGGACACTGACCACTCCTTTAAGGTGACGACGCTTCCCAACATGGTGGATGGTTCATTCATGTTGAGGCTTCTCCCCCCGCTGTTCAGCCTCGCCAAAGGGAGGCAAGTGGTGTACGCCTCGAAATTCAGGCGAGGTGACCCAGAGATGGGACGCTAATCTCTCCTCCGAGGTGACGACGCTTCCCAATATAGTGGATGGTTCATCCATGTTGAGGCTTCTCCCAATGGCGTTCAGCCTCGTCAAGGGGAGACAAGTGGCATGGGCCTCGGAGTTCAAGCGAGGTGGCCCAGAGATGGGACGCTGACCTTTCCTTCGAGGTGACAATGCTTCCCAACATGATGGATGGTTCATCCATGTTGAGGCTTCTCCCAATGATGTTCAGCTTTTCGAGGTGACGACTCTTCCCAACATGGTGGATGATTCATCCATGTTGAAACTTCTCCCCCTGGCGTTTAGCTCCGCCAAAGGGAGGCAAGTGACGTGCGCCTCGGAGTTCAGGCGAGGTGGCCCAGAGATGGGACGCTGACCTCTCCTCCGAGGTGACGACGTAGTGCGACACTTGAATTCAATCATGGACAATTTTATTGAATCATGGAAATGTTACATGAGCTGGGAAAGATCGTCCAGCGAGATAGTACATTCGTTGATAATAGATTCGGAGGTGCTCAATGTTTCATGGATGGGGTTGTGCCTTGCCGTCCATGTCTTCAATCCAATATGTCCCAGGTCGGATCTCCTCCTAGATTCTATACGGGCCTTCCCAATTCGAACCCAAGCTACCGGTGCCTGGTTCCTTGGAGGAGAGAAAAACTCTCCTAAGGACCAAGTCGTTGATTCGAAATGACATCTTCTTCACCTTTGAGTTAAAGTACTTCGTCATCTTTCTTTGATATGTGGCGAGCTTCAGCTGGGCGTTATCTCTTCTTTCCTCAATGAAGTCGAGGTCGCACTTCCAAAGCTCGTCGTTTGTTATTTCTTTGCCATAAGGAAATGTGTTTTCCCTATGGGGGTCCTCATAGTGGTTCGAATGGCCCAAAGCACTTGTGGCAGGTCATCCACCCAAGCCCCTTTTGACACATCAAGCTTCCTTTTCAGGATGTGTTTGGTGGTCTTGTTCACAGCCTCAACCTGGCCATTTGCTTGTGGGTAATGAGGTGTGGAGAAGTGCTTCTTGATGCCAAGTTCTTTACACAAACTTCTGAACTTCTTGTTGTCGAACTGTTTACCATTGTCTGAGACGATTGAGTAGGGAATCCCGAATCGGCATATAATGTTCTTCCATGAGAACTTATAAGTGTTTGCTTCTGTGATTTTTGCCAGTGGTTCAGCATCAACCCACTTCGTGAAGTAATCAATGGCCACAATTGCAAAGCTCGCGCCTCCTCTGCCTTTCGGTAGAGGACCTATGAGGTCCACACCCCACTTCAAGAAGGGTCAAGGGCTGGAGATGTGGTCAAATCTTGCAATGGTTGTCTTTGAATAGGAGAGAATCGTTGGCATTTATCACATTTTTGTACAAATTGGAGGGTGTCCTTTTTCAAAGTAGGCCAATAGTACCCCTATCTCAGTATTTTTTGCACCAAAGATAGACCTCCAGAGTGGTTGCCACAAATACCCTCGTGAAGTTCTCTTAAG